GTTTCACCATATTGCCCAGAGTGGTCTTGAACTCCTGAGTTCAGGCAATCCACCTGCCTCAGCCTCCCAAAGTGCTAGGATTGGCACGGTGGCATGAGCCACCGTGCCCACCTAAAAGTTAAAACTTTCATTTTTCAAATGAAACCATCAAGAAAGTGAAAAGACAACCCACAAAATGGAAAAACATGTTTGCAAGTCATATATGTGATTTAAAAAAAAATCTACAACTCAGTAAAAAAAAGTTAGCCCAGCTAAATGCAGAGGATTTGAATGGATAACTCTCCAAATAAGATCTACAAATGGCTGCCCAGGCGCGGTGGCTCATGCCTGTAATCCCAGCACTTTGGGAGGCCGAGGTGGGAGGAGTGCTTGAACCCAGGAGTTTGAGACCAACTCTGGGCAACATAGTGAGATCTCATCTCTACAAAAAATGAACAAAATTAACTGTGCATGGTGGCATGTATCTGTAGTCCCAGCTACTTGGGAGGCTGAGGTGGGAGGATTGCTTGAGCCCAGGAGGTCGAGTCTGCAGTGAGCCAAGATCATGCCACTGCACTCCAGCCTGGGCAACAGACCCTGTCTTAACAACAACAACAACAACAACAACAACAAATATATATAGATAGATACACACACACACACAAATGACCAATAAGCACATGAAAAGTGCTTGACATGTTTAACCATCAGGAAAATGCAAATCAAAACCTCAGAGAGATACCACTTTACACCCACTAGGATAATTTAGAAGACAGACAATAACAAGTATTGGTGAGAACACAGAGAAATAGAATCTTCATACACTGCTAGTAGAACTGTAAAATGGTGCAGCGACTTTAGAAAACAGCCCGGAGGCACCTCAAAAGGTTAAACAGAGTTACCATATGACACAGCAATTCCACTTCTAGGTGAATATCCAAGAGAAATGAAAACATACATCTATACAAAAACTTGTATGTGAATATTCATAGCAGCATTTGCTGGGTGCGGTGGCTCACACCTTTAATCCCAGCATTTTGGGAGGCCAAGTCGGGTGGATCACCTGAGGTCAGGAGTTTGAGACCAGCCTGGGCAACACAGTGAAACCCCATCTCTACTAAAAATACAAAAATTAGCTGAGATTGGTGAGGGGCGCCTGTAGTCCCAGCTACTTGGGAGGTTGAGGCATGAAAACCACTTAAACCCAGGAGACAGAGGTTGCAGTGAGCCGAGATCGTGCCACTGCACTCCAGCCTGGGCCACAGAGCGAGACTCCATCTCAAAACAAAAACAAACAAAATAAAGCAACAAATATTCACAGCAGCATTATTCTAATAGCCCAAATGTGGACACCCTCCAGATATCCCTCCAATGGTGAGTAGATACATAAAATGTGATACAGTGAGACTTTATTGGGTAATACAGAGAAACAAAGTACTTCTAACGAGCTACAATGTGGAGGAATCTTAAACACCTTATGCTAAGTGAAAGAACCCTCACACAAAAGGCCACATATCATGTTTCCATTTATGTGAAAGTTGGGAACAGACAAATCCATAGAGACAGAAAGTGGATTGTGGTTGCCTAGGGCTAGGTAGGGAGAGCGGAGGATAGGCAGAGTTGGGGTGGAATGGGGAGAGACTGCTACTTATGGGTTTGCAGTTTCTTTTAAGGGTGATAAAAATGTTCTAAAATTCATTGTGATGACTGCACAACACCTTGAATATATTTTTAAAAACCCATTGAACTGTAAACTTTAAGTGGCTTTTCAATATTATATTTCAATAAAGCTGTTACTTAAAAAAAAAGTTGGTAGTCTTTCTGTGTAAATGAGGAATCTGTAGTTATTTTTAAAATAAAAACTAAAACCAACTTTTTTTTTTTTTAGATGGAGTCTTGCTGTCACCAGGCTGGAGTGCAGTGGCGCGATCTCGGCTCATTGCAACTTCCGCCTCCCGGGTTCAAGTGAGTCTCCTGCCTCAGCCTCCTGAGTAGCTGGGATTACAGACATGCACCACCATGCCTGGCTAATTTTTGTATTTTTAGTAGAGACAGGGGAGCTGGTCTCAAACTCCTGGCCTCAAGTGATCTGCCCGCCTCAGCCTCCCAAAGTGCTGGGATTACAGGCATGAGCCACTGCACCCAACCGCCTTTTTTTTTTTCTTGAGATGGAGTCTCGCTGTCTTGCCCAGGCTGGAGTGATTCTTCTGCCTCAGCCTCCAGATTAGCTGGGATTACAGGCACCCATCATCATGCCTGGCTAATTTTTTTGTACTTTTGTAGAGACGGGGTTTCACCATGTTGGCCAGGCTGGTCTTGAACTCCTGACCTCAGGTGATCCTCTCGCCTCGGCCTCCCAAAGTGCTGGGATTACAGGCATGAGCCACAGCACCAGGCCTAACTTTTACATAAACAAACAAACAAACAAACAAACTGTTGGAAGGGCAGAAGACTGCTGCTAGTGTTAAGAAAATCAAGCTGTTTAGGAACTACCAATGAATTCAGCTCCCTGCAGCACTGAGGTGAACACCTTGCAAGAAGACACCAGGAACATGTGGCTGAAACCTTTCCGAAGCCTGAAGTCTGCTCACCTGCCTGCCGCTGCCAAAAGCAACAATCCTCTCTACTCCTCTCACTCTCTCAATCTTGCAGATACACCATTTATTGGCAGAACCTGCACTGGAGCCCTGAAGATGAGCAGGTACAGGAACCGTCATGTCCCAGATGCCAGCTCCTGTGATACCGGGGAGAACACAGGAGGAAGTGGGAGTGGCACTGAGCAGCCACACAGAGCAGGAAGTGAACTCACCTTCTGTTTAAAATGAGGACATTGAACCCGAGATCGTAGAAGTAATTTGCTCAAGGCCACATCACTTGCTAGTGATAATGTGCCTACTGTTCAGCTGAGGGCTTTCGCTGGCGGGTTGGGGGGAGGCAGGTACAAAAACCATCTGTGTGAATTTTAGGAGGCATAATAAACGGACTATCAAGTTACTATTCTGATTTAACACCCAGAAAACAAAGATACCAAAGATGGTTTGTGTAGGAAAAATCCTGGTGCTGTAGATTTCAGGCCTGTCCAAACATTACACTTCAAACAAATGCCTGATACTGCAAAACAAAAGCTCATTTCATAGGTTTGGTGGTTTGTCAAAAAATCCTTCAATATGATATTTTGGCGCACACACAAAAAATTCCACATATCATGAGCAAAAAGTCTGAGCGGAGTTTCGCTCTTGTTGCCCAGGCTGAAGTGCAATGGCGCAATCTCGGCTCACCGCAACCTCTGCCTCCCAGATTCAAGCGATTCTCCTGCCTCAGCCTCCCTGGTAGCTGGGATCACAGGCATGTGTCACCACACCCAGCTAATTTTGTATTTTTAGTAGAGATGGGGTTTCTCCATGTTGGTCAGGCTGGTCTCAAACTCCTGACCTCAGGTGATCCACCCGCTTTGGCCTCCCAAAGAGCTGGGATAACAGGCATGAACCACCAAGCCCAGCCTGAATTTTTTTCTTTTTTTTTTTTGAGATGGAGCCTTGTTCTGTTGCCCAGGCTGGAGTGGAGTGATCTTGGCTCACCACAACCTCCGCCTCCCTGGTTCAAGTGATTCTTCTGCCTCAGCTTCCTGAGTAGCTGGGACTACAGGTGCATGCCACCATGCCTGGCTAAATTTTTTTGTATTTTTAGTAGAGACAGGGTTTCACTATGTTGGCCAGGCTGGTCTCGAACTCCTGACCTTCATGATCTGCCCGCCTCAGCCTCCCAAAGTGCTGGGATTACAGGCATGAGCCACCACACCTGGCTAGTCTGATTTTTTATTAAGATTTGCTTACTGAGAACCAGGGCTCCAATTACCCATTCACTCATTCTTAAATTTGTTCATTCATTCAGCAAATATTCCCCAAACATCCCTTAAGGGGCTTTCTTCAGTGAAGGAGACAGAAATGTAAAAAGTGAATAAAATAAAGCCAGGCGTGGTGGCTCACGCCTGTAATCCCAACACTTTGGGAGGCTGAGGCAGGTGGATTACCTGAGGTCAGGAGTTCAAGACCAGCCTGACCAACATGGAGAAAACGCATCTCTACTAAAAATACAAAATTAGCTGGGCATGGTGGCACATGCCTGTAATCCAAGCTACTTGGGAGGCTGAGGCAGGAGAATCGCTTGAACCTGGGAGGCAGAGGTTGTCGTGAGCCAAGATCGTGCCATTGCACTCCAGTCTGGGCAAAAAAAGCAAAACACCATCTCAAAAAAAAAAAAAAAAGTGGATAAAATATATATGAGACTGATAAACTTAGTATAAGAGTACAAATATATGTCAACTGATTAATTATAAATATAACAGGGCTGGGCACAGTAGCTCCTGTCTGTAATCCCAGCACCCAGCACTTTGGGAGGCTGAGGCAGGAGGATCACTTAAGTTCAGGAGTTCGAGACCAGCCTGGAAAACCTTGTCTCTACAACAAAAGAAAAAGTAAAACGTGACAAGGCACAGTGACTTATGCCTGTAATCCCAGCTCTTTGGGAGGCCAAGGCGGGCGGATCATTTGAGGTCAGGAGTTTGAGATCAGCCTGGCCAACATGGTGAAATCTCGTCTCTACTGAAAATATAAAAATTAGCCAGACCAGGCACAGTGGCTCACGCCTGTAATCCCAGCACTTTGGGAAGCTGAGGCGGGTGGATCACGAGGTCAGGAGTTCAAGACCAGCCTGATCAACATGGTAAAACCCCATCTCTACTAAAAATACAAAAATTAGCCGGGCATGGTGGCAGGCACCTGTAATCCCAGCTACTGAGCAGGCTGAGGAGGAGAATCGCTTGAACCTGGGAGGTAGAGGTTGCAGTGAGCAGATCGTGCTACTGCATTCTAGCCTGGGTGACACAGTGAGACTCCGTCTCAAAAAAAAAAAAAAAAAAAAAAAAAAAATTAGCCAGGCATGGAGGTGGCTCTCGTGGAGGCAGCTAGTGTGAGGCTAGGGAGCGCTGAGCCACGCCTCATGCCCTGCGCTACCCAGACTAGTGAACAATACAGTCAGGATGGCTAAAGGTGACCCCAAGAAACCAAAGGGCAAGGTGTCTGCTTATGCTTTCTCTGTGCAGACATGCTGCAGCGGGATAATGAAGGACTCAGAGAGACCGAGGGGTGGAGGAGGAATTATTTATTATTTAGGTGCACCAGCCCAGTTGGATTAACATCCACAGGACTGAGCCCGAACAAAGAGTCAAGCTACCTTTTAAGCATTTTGTGGGGTGGGGGGAGATCTGTGCAGGGTAAAGCATATTACAGAAGCAAGAAATAAAGACAGTTATTTAATTAAGACATGCATTACATCATTTCTTACTTTTCAAGTAACAACATGTTTTACGACTTGCGATTATCTGCCTAGTGACCTTGCAGCTGCATAGCTAGAGAAACAGAGTCTTCACAATTCCTGGGAAAGGGAGAGATAAGGCTCACTAGCCACAGAAAAACAGGCAGTTAATTTTTAAAGGACTTCAGCTTTTTTTCTTTCTCAGGGAGGATTGGGTTTTCTTACATACAACTGAGTTTTTGCTCACATATTCTTTAATTTCTTTCCTTTTTTTTTGAGACGGAGTTTCCCTCTTGTTGCCTAGGCTGGAGTGCAATGGCATGATCTCAGCTCACAGCAACCTCCGCCTCCCGGGTTCAAGCCATTCTCCTGCCTCAGCCTCTGGAGTAGTTGGGATTACAGGCATGTGCCACCACGCCCAGCTAATTTTTTGTATTTTTAGTAGAGACAGGGTTTCTCCATGTTGTTCAGGCTGGTCTCGAACCCTGGACCTCAGGTGATCCACCCACCTCGGCTTCCCAAAGTGCTGGGATTACAGGCATGAGCCACCACGCCCAGCCTCTTTAATTTCTTTTAATTTCTGTTCCAATACAAAGAAGAATATAAGAAGAAAAACCCAGAGGTCCCTGTCAATTTTGCAGAATTTTCCAAGAAGTACTCTGGGAGGTGGAAGACAATGTCCAGGAAAGAGAAATTTAAATTTGATGAAATGGCAAAGGCAGATAAAGTGCTCTATGATCGGGAAATGAAGGATCATGGACCAGCCAAGGGAGGCAAGAGGAAGAAGGACCCTAATGCCCCCAAAAGGCCACCGTCTGGATTCTTCCTGTTCTCTTCAGAATTCTGCCCCAGGATCAAATCCACAAACCCCGGCATCTCTATTGGAGACGTGGCAAAAAAGCTGGGTGAAATGTGGAAGAACTTAAATGACAGTGAAAAGCAGCCTTACATCACTAAGGCGGCAAAACTGAAGGAGAAGTATGAGAAGGATGTTGCTGACTGTAAGTTGAAAGGAAAGTTTGATGGCACAAAGGGTTCAGCTAAAGTTGTGCGGAAAAAGTGGAAGAGGAAGATGAAGACGAGGAGGAAGAAGAGAAGGAGGAGGAGGAGGATGAACAAACAGTTTATCTGTCTCCTTGTGAATACTTAGAGTAGGGGAGCGCCATACTCAACATATCTCTTATTTGAGAAGTATCTGTTGCCCTCATTAGGTTTAATTACAAAATTTGATCATGATCGTATTGTAGTTCCTCAAAGTGCTTTAGAAATTGTCAGTGGTTTACATGAAGCGGCCATGGGTGTCTGGAGCACCCTGAAACTGCATCAAAGGTGTACATATTTCCAAACATTTTTAAAATGAAAAGGCACTCTTGTGTTCTCCCCACTCTGTGCACTTTGCTGTGGGTGTGACAAGGCATTTAAAGAGGTTTCTGGCATTTTCTTTTTATTTGTAAGGTGGTGTTAACTATATGGTTATTGGCTAGAAATCCTGAGTTAACAACTGTATATCTCTATAGTTTGTAAAAAGAACAAAACGACTGAGATAAAGTCTGGATGCTCCTTGCTTGGCGTTGAGCTGTGGGGAAGATGCTTTTTGGAGGGGCTGTAGCTCAGGGTGTGTGCTCTGTGAGGCTGGACCTGTTGACTATGCAGTGGGCATCCATTTCGCTTCAGGTTGTCTTTTTTCTGTCACATGGCATTCTGCTGCCATCTTAGCTGTGGACAAAGCGGGGTCAGCTGGCATGATATATATATATATATTTTTTAGTTAAGCGCGGTAGTTTTTAAACAAACTGTAGAACTCTTCATTGTCAGCAAAGTGAAGAGCCACTGCATCAGTGAAAGTTCAAGAACCTCCTGTACTTAAACACGATTTGCAACATTCTGGTTTTTTTTCGTATGTTTAGAACACTGAAATGGTTTTGAAGTTAAATGAACAGTATTACATTAAAAAAAAAATTAGCCAGGCATGGTGGCGGGTGCCTGTAATCCCAGCTACTCAGGAGGCTGAGGTGGGAGGATTGCTTGAGCCCAGGAAATCGAGGCTGTAGTGAGCCAAGATCATGCCAACTGTACTCCAGCCTAGTTGATAGAATGAGACACTGTCTCAAAAACAAGCAAGCAAACAAACAAAAAACTCTGAAAGAAGCACTAGCAAAGAATTATGGGAGCATCCAAAAGGAATAATAATAACTCTTTTTTTTTTTTTTTTGAGACAGAATTTCGCCCTTGTTGCCCAGGCTGGAGTTGCAATGGCGCGGTCTCAGCTCACCGCAACCTCTGCCTCCCGAGTTCAAGTGATTCTCCTGCCTCAGCTTCCCGAGTAGCTGGGATTACAGGCATGTGCCACCACTCCTGGCTAATCTTTTGTATTTTTAGTAGAGACGGGGTTTCTCCATGTTGGTCAGGCTGGTCTTGAACTCCCGGCCTTAGGTAATCCAACTGACTTGGCCTCCCAAAGTGCTGGGATTACAGGCGTGAGCCACCACGCCCGGCCACAATAATAACTAACTCTTATTGGGCACTCATTATGTTCTAGGCATCTTCTAAATGCTTTATATGTATTAATTTATTTAATCTGCACAAAAATCCTATGATGTGAGTGGGTAGCACTCTTATTTAGAAAACTCAGGCGCAGAGTGTTTTAATATTGAAGGGGAGGAAAAATAACTTTTTCTTCTGCCTTTCATGGTTCTTAGACAGTATGAACCTCTGTAACACAGGACAGATAACAAGAGAAAAACAGGCCGGGCACAGTGGCTCATGTTTGTAATCCCAGTACTTTGGGAGGCCTAGGTGGGAGGATTGCTTGAGCTCAGAAGTTTGAGACCAGCCTTGGCAACATGGCTGAGACACTGTCTCTACCAAGAATACAAAATAAAATTAATTGGGCAGTGGCAGGTGCCTGTAGTCTTAGCTACTTGGGAGGCTGAGGTAATAGGATCACCTGAGCCCAGGAGGTTGAGGCTGCAGTGAGCTGAGATTGTGTCACCACACTCCAGGCTGGGCAACAGAGCAAGATCCTGTATCGAAACAAAACAAAACTCCAGAAGTTTAACAACAGGTATTCCTCTTATGTATCCATAGGAGATAAACAGAGAAAGGAGTAAACCTCAAAGAGGTGGCTTTGAATTCAGGTTTCAATACCATCGTTTGCCAGACAGAGAAAGAAGGATGTGGGGAAGGCTGATAATGAGGGAGCTGCCAGGAAAAGCAGAGTAAACAAGAGTGAGGTTTGCTGCACAGATTTAAGCCAGAGCCATCTATACTGATGAGTTCCTAGTGATTTAGAATCATCCTGCTTTTCCTGGTACAGAAAGGAAGGCACCCTTACAAATGGAGACTTCCGGCCAGGCGTGGTGGCTCATGCCTGTAATCCCAGCAATTTGGGAGGCCGAGGCGGGTGGATCACCTGAGGTCACTAGTTCGAGACCAGCCTGATCAACATGGTGAAATTCCGTTTCTGCAAAAAACACAAAAATTAGCTGGGTATGGTGTCATGCACCTATAGTCCCAGCTACTCAGGAGGCCGAGGCAGCAGAATTGCTTGAACCTGGGAGGCGGAGATTGCAGTGAGTTGAGATCATGCCACTGCACTCCAGCCAGGTGACAGAGCGAGACTCTGTCTCAAAACAAAACAAAACAAAAACAAAAACAAAAAAAACAAATGAAGACTTCCCTTATAGATTAAATTTCCCTTACAAAAGGGTAATTTCTACTGTTCTCAGAGCTTCTCCTGTATCTGTAACTTCTCAAAATCATCAGCTCAAAATAGTCCTTATGCTAAGGAGGCATATTTCATGTTGGCATATGCTGGTCTCCTACAATGACTCGCCAAAGATCACAAAACTAATAAGTGAATTCAGGCAGTCTGGCTCCACGCCTGTGTCCTGCGTCATCTCACTGGAGATCTTTTACAGGACAAGGCAAGTCATGTGGTAACTTCTAATTAGAGGGATGAAGGAAGACTTCATGGAAGAGGCAGCATTTGAATTAAGCCCTGAAAGTAAAGTAAAAGAGCATTCCAAGTTGGGAGTGTAGATACAGAGATGCAAAAAGAAATATGTGGGGGTAAGCATTTGGCCTGGCACAAGAAGGTGGAAAATATTGAGGGGGAACTTGGACTCTCTGGTAAGTGTTGGCACACTATTGTGAAGGTATTGAGAAGTCAAAGATTTTTTCTGAGCCCTTTTTTCTAGCCCTTTAATACAAAATAGCTAACACCTATGCCAGGCATGGTGGCTCAAACCTGTAATCTCAGCACTTTGAGAGGCCAAGGCAGGAGCATTGCTTGAAGCCAGGAGTTCAAGACCACCCTTGCCAACATAATGAGACCCCCATCTGTATATTAAAAAAAAAAAAAAGAAATCAGGGCTGGGCATGGTGCTCATGCCTGTAATCCCAGCACTTTGGGAGGCCAAGGTGGGCGAATCACAAGGTCAGAAGTTCGAGACCAGCCTGCCCACTATGGTGATACCCTGTCTCTACTAAAAATACAAAAATTAGCTGGGCATGGTGGTGGGCACCTGTAGTCCCAGCTACTCAGGAGGCCAAGGCAGGAGAATTGCTTGAACCTGGGAGGCAGAGGTTGCAGTGAGCCAAGATCGCACCACCGCACTCCAGCCTGGTGACAGAGTAAGAATCCGTCTAAGAAAAAAAAAAAGAAAAAAACTAACACCTAATATGGGGTGGTGGTAGAGGAGAAAAATTTCTGGTATCTATTCTAGAAGTGCAACTTCATTGAAAACACAAGACATAAGAATACTCAAAAAAATGATAGACAAGTTTAAAAATGTGATACAAGAGATGTTTCAACTTTGTGCATGATTAGTTGTTTAACAAACCACATGGTTTTTGCAAATTTAAGGTTATATTAACTGTTTCTTTGGTTTGAATGGAGGGTTTGCAAGTAGAAGAAGAGTCTGGAAACGGCTTTGGGCAGTTGAGACAGGTTTTGGAAGGAAGCTGCTATGGTTTGAATGTGTCCCCCAAAACTCGTGTGTTGGAAACTTAATCCCCAATGCAACAGTGTTAGGAGGTGGGGCCTAATAAGGTGATTAGGTCATAAGTGCTCTGCTCTCGTGAGAGGATTAATGTCATTTTTGAGGGAGTGGGTTAGTTATCTCGAGAGTGGGCTGTTTTAAAAGTGAGTTTGGCTTCCTTTTGCTCACTTGTCTCGCTCTCTCTTGCTCTTTTGGCTTCTGCCATGGGATGACTCAGCAAGAAGGCCCTTGTCAGATGCTGACACTTTGATATTGAACTTCCCAGACTCCAGAACTGTGAGAAATAAACTGATTTTCTTCATAAATTTCCCAGTCTGTGGTATCATGTTATAGCAACACAAAACAGACTAAGACAGAGGCCATAAATAATGGACGGCAAGCCCTATTGCCAAATGTGGGAATAAAACGGTTAATGCTGAAACTGACTGCCCAAGAACCCTCTCTTTACCTTCATAACGCCCCAGGGAGAGGAGAATCCCAGTAATGAGTGACTGGAAATAACAAACTGGCTCTGACAGGAGCTTAGGTGTCCAGATATAGGCAGCTCCAGGCTGACTTTGTGGTTCCACAATCCAGAGTGAGAAAATTCCAAGGCTTCCTCCTAGACCACATCCTTAATGCATAAGAATTGCCAGAGAAAATTATCCAAGATATGGAAATGGGCAAAGGAGATTACTAGGTTTCCTTTCAATGGAATTGTTATTACTGCCTATTGGAATTTCTGGAATTTTTGGATTTTATAGGGTTGTACAATTTAACTGATTTCTTATTGACTAGGTTATTTTATAATTTTGTAGGAATTGAAGTAAAATTGTAAAAAAAAGATCTGATGGTAAGGCAAATTCTTATCCATAGCAATGCAAATAAATTTTGCCTGATAAAGATATTGATGTCTCCTCTGCAGAAGAGAGAACACCAAACATTACATTTTATTGCACTGTAGGATATTAACCAGTTTTGTCTTTTCTCTTTGCCTCTCTGTTCCTCAAATTCCCTTTGAAATAATCTTAACATCTTACCAGTGCCCTCATTAATTGAATTGAATAAAATCTTTGACCTGTGTTCATTCTATATTTGCACAAAACCATGTTTTTGAATCTTTTTTTTTTTTTTTTTGAGACAGGGTCTCACTCTGTCACCCAGGCTGGAATGCAGTAGCACGATCTTGGCTCACTGCAGCCTCAAGCAATTCCCAGGCTTAAGCAATCCTCCCACCTCAGCCTCCCTGGTAGCTGGGACCATAGGCTCATGCCACCACACCTGGCTAATTTTTTTGTATGTTTTTTTTTTTTTTTTTTTTTTTTGAGACGGAGTCTCGCTCTGTCGCCCAGGCTGGAGTGCAGTGGCCAGATCTCAGCTCACTGCAAGCTCTGCCTCCCGGGTTCCCGCCATTCTCCTGCCTCAGCCTCCCGAGTAGCTGGGACCACAGGCGCCGCCACCTCGCCCGGCTAATTTTTTGTGTTTTTAGTAGAGACGGGGTTTCGCCGTGTTAGCCAGGATGGTCTCGATCTCCTGACCTTGTGATCCGCCTGTCTCGGCCTCCCAAAGTG